CCCCCAACCCCCGACCAGCCCCTTTAACTTAATAAGGGCAACTATCCTCTCAAATATCTACACCCTGCGCCCTTATTAGGTCAATATTATATATATCGTGATGCACAGGTGTAGATACAGATTAAAAACCAGCTGTAGGACACTGACAATGCCTCTCTATCACTGGCAGCCATTTAAAAGGTTTTTTAAGTGATTCTTGCGACCTTGAATGTAAATGAAGGTTATATATTTGAACAAAATTATTGTCCTTCTTTCAAACAAACTGCAGGTCATGATCACAAATCATTATTTCAGGATATGTGGTTCTCTGGAATGATTGATTTAACTCATTCACCCCTGATATTTCATAATGAACTATTCCAACCTTAGAATTGGAGAAGATCAAAGGTGTCTTCAGTGGTGAAATAAGTTAATTACTTTTACACATTCAATGAGCTTTGACCTGGAGAGTGGGTCAGGCCACCTATTCAAACAAAAACGTGTACCCCCTATATATAGTTAGGCCTAAAGGCCTTCATTTAATTTAATTAATTGCAGGCAGACCAAACATCATGACTTTAGACCTAGTGGTTTTTGAAAAGAAGTTAACAGACGGTTCAAATTTTGGCACATTCAAAATTCACCATAGAATGCATTGTATGCATGGTAGCTTTATAGATATACTTATACATTACTATACTTATTCTAGTTCCAAGTACACTTTATTTTATTGAGTAGAACCTACCTTTGGTTGTTTCCCAGAAGAGTTCTTGCAATGGATCCTACAAAATATAGAAAACATCATGTAATCTATGGCTGTCATATCACATGGGTACAGAATTTCATTCTTGTGAACAGGTTTCAAAACAATAACCTATATATCATGTGAAAAGCTTATCAATGAAATTTAATAAAAGCTGATTTCACATAGTTTTTTAATCCCATGAGAAATTTGATATGATGAGTAAACAAGAGGCCTCTGTATCGATCACCTGAATATTTAAGCAGTCATAGCAAAATATTCTTATTAAATAGTATCCTGTACTACAAATATTTCACTCACAAACTTTGTCGGCTCCATCTGTTGAAACTACCAAATATTATTATATGATTCTATGCTTTTGGTTCTTCTTAACCACGCCTGTAAATTGCCCATTTTGGGTTAAATATCTGTCATTTTTTAGGGAAAATGGTTTGAGGAAAACATAACTGGGTGTCAATATCTAATTTGTCTGCTCGAATCGTGCAGAATTTGTCGGTTCCCTATATAGTATGTGGTGGGTTTGGAAAAACCAAACAAAGAAAGTTTAGCAAACTCTGATGCCAGAGAATCCCCAATCAACTTACGCTTAGACATCTCAGCGGTTTTTCCATAATTATAAAAATTTAATTTTCAATTATAGGCTCCATTCCATGTAAGTTCTGTTGTTTTTTTTAACAAATTAATTGCTCTTAAAAAATGACATATTTCTTTATTCATTTTTGTTTCTATTTAAAATTTGTAACAATTCTTTACAAAGTGTAAGATGAAATCAATGACAAGGTTAGAATTTTTGAAATCATAATTTTAATAAAGTTTAACAAGGTACCACAAATCAATCTCTTCTTTGTCTACTTCTCCATTCTGTGACAGAGGGGTTACTGAACTTGGGGATATAGAACTTGACAGGAACAAGGAGGCAGTAAAGGCAATATTTATGTGTGTTGACTTTATCCTTATATTAAACAACGTTACCAGCTGGCAATTTGCGAGACAACAGAAAAATGGTGCGTTTCCTAGTTGACCTTTGGGTAAAGGACATGAAAGACTATTTGGATGCGTCACAGGTGAAGTATTTGTCATACAACAGTGTCACGCAGATGTGTGTCTCGCAACACTATACGAAAAGCAAATTCCAATTCTGAAAGATTGTAAAGTGTTTTCACTCCTAGCAGATAAAAGCGCAGATCAGGCACACATGAGTCAACTAAGCAAATGACGAGAGGTCTCTGTGTCCACAAGACTTTGTAGCTTCCTTGAATGCATCGCTTATTTTAGTCAGTCCTTTGGAATCAATTTTTCTGATGTTTTAGTGAAGTATTTTGAATTATGCGACATGGTGTAGAACCGGATATCAGCCCCGAATCAAAGCATTTGTCAAATTGACCCTTGAAATTCTGATGACCGTATCAAACGATATCATAACCTAGATTCGAATCTTCAGATTTGACTTTTCTCCCCTCGGAAAATAACCGATCGCAGAAGTTATTATCATTCAGGAGAACGTCTTATGTATTTTAATATACACTTTAGACATGTTTTGATTAAATCATAGATTTACAACAATAAGCAAACAAAGACTAAATTAACAGGTATTCTATTTGGGAAAATATGTTTTTATTTTGGGAAAAAACGTAATTTTCACTCTAGGGGAAGCAGCCGTTAGACGGCTGCAGATCAGTCCAAAAAAAAAACTGGGTATAAACAAATGTTTCATAATCCCTTTACGGTCAAACCAGTCTGTAGTTCTAACACTAGTACAGTAGGGCTACACGCCACGTGTTGAGTGAAAACATCACAGTCCCTCGATCGCAACTGCAAATAATTTCAATTAATTTTCAGTAGAGCTATTGTATGTAAGCACGGAGTGTTAGCTAATTACCCCATTGTAATTTGTATTAACTGTCATTGAAGCCTTGATAATTAACAGACATCATTAATTAAAATAAGACGAATTACATGCTGGTAATTGTGGTCTATTGTTCATGTTTCACACTTATACGTAGTTCACATCCCCACAGGTAAATCTACCCGCAGAGAACGGGTGGTGCAGTGGATAGCGCACTTGCCTTTCACCAAGGCGGCCGGGGTTGAATTCCCCGATCAGACATGAAAAGGTTGGGATCACCTGCCCAACCACAAGGGTTTTCTCCAGGTACTCTGGTTTCCTCCCAGACTTAGAACCCCCACGCGCTAAAATCCGGGCAAACGAGTGATTATAATATAAGTTGAAATAACTTGTTTCATAATTGTTGTAAAATAAATAAAGTTTATATTATATTACAATAAAAAAAATAGTCTAATGGAAAGGGGAGAAGAGGTTAGGCACATCATGATTTGTGAGAACTTGTCAGTTGATGTGTAACGGTAAAATGGTGATGCGTGTCTCTCAAAAATCATGCGTAACGGTACCGTTACTCTAAAACAGCCTCGGGAGAACACTGCTGTGGTGTTGAGAAGTGTCAATAATTTTCAAAGAAGCATGGTGATTCTACCTAGCCTATTGTCGGGCCAGAGGGCGTCAGAGGTTATGCCCTCTGGTCAACTTACCTGTAAAAATGTTACCTGTACCCAGCTAGTGTTTGTCGCCAAATCAGCAGTCATGACAAAGGATTATCAATTTTAATCATTTTAGTGTAGGCAAAAATTGTGTCGCCAAAGAATATCGCCAATCCAAATTTTTGTCGCCCAATCTGAAAAAGTGTGCCCATTTGGCAACTTGGTGATCATTAATGCGAGCCCTGCAACTAAACAGGACTTAAAAAATCCTTAAGGATTTAGGGTGAAAAGTCCTGAACCCCATAAACAGGCGACTGATCAGAATTTCGGAGCCTGCGATTATGGTCAGTGTTAGCGGACTAATGTATTAACAGTAAATGTTGCAGAGGGGGGGGGGGGGGGGGGACCTCTAAATCCAACTGCTCTCCTCCGGATCTCCGTTTGAGTTTCGCTGACTGCTGCAGAAAGTTCACAAACTTCATCTTCATATCATAAAGATGTGACTACATTCATTTTTTTGTCTTATGTGAAAGTTATGGTCTACAGATTATTTTTTTTGCAATATTGACTGGAATTCATTTTAAATATGAGTAGTTTAAGCAGAGGTTACGCAGGAGTGGCGTTTTATGAACTCTATGTTAATTTGTATTACTTTTAGCACTGATGGCAGCGTACTACGTTATTTTCTTCATGTTGTAAACCTCAAACGTGCACACACTGCAGTAAACCGGTACTGTAGGGCCATCTTCCCAACATTTCACAAGGTGACATTTGACCAGATTCAAGTGTAATCAACATGATGCATATTTTCGGTCGTTCAAATATAATATTAACAATTTGAATTCTACCAATATAGTGTCAAAAGAGCAATACTATCAATGGAATCAGTTTACCTGCTCTGATAGCTCGTAGTCGCAACATGTTGGCGACCTTCTCGTCCTTCTCTGGATTGCCCGGATGATATAGTTAACCGTAAAGCGTTACATGGAGTATGTCGTAAAATGAATTTGCCTGAATATTAAGCTTCTGAATAACACAGATGGCATGTAATCGCGAGAAACACTTATTTGTTTAGGGCGAGGGGGACGGGGCGGTGAAACTTGCCGCCAATTGATACTTTCATAAGTTCCTCTCTGTATGTAATAATGAGATTAGTTTCACCATGTACTAATATGTAATACAAGATATAAGATACATCAGCAATCCCAAGCTCAGGTAGCTAGGTCTCAGGTTAGCTGCGATACAGTATCGTAACCTCGCACAACGAGACATTTTTTCAGTATATCTTGTGTCGTCAGCCGGGCAGAGGAGGTCGGATATTATTATTAATTAGTACTAGGGTAGGTCGTGACACAGGTCATGGACTAAAACCAGGGACCATTTTTGAAAGAAGTGATTCGTAAATTCTTTTGAAAAAATATCCTTACCTTTTCACTATGAATTGATACAGCTGGGCAACATGTAATAATGTTTAGGGACCACTTATTGAAAGAAGTGATTCGTAAATTTTTAAAATATCCTCACGTTTTTATACAGGGCAACATGCAATAATTTTCAATGTTTAAAAAAGACAGCAAGCAGATGTTTACAAGGGCCTTGATGATAAATTGAATTAATGATATTTGGAATCATATAATCGACATTTCAGAAAGAATAGCAACACTAGATCTTGTTATAACGAACAGAAACCTTTATTGGTCTGCTACCGATAATTGCCTAAAACCAATCGGCGCACAAGACGAACATCTTTCATTTCAAACAAGTCACTATATTTAGTCATTGTGTGTGGTAACCTGCAGTACAAATATCGGAATAAGAACTTGAAGAAAAAAGACTGATTTGTATCACAGAATTACATATCTAAGTCCGTGTTGGTATCATTTTCTATTTAGACTAGTTTTTGTCAAATTCAAAAGAATCGACGAAGGCCTAGGTTTAACTCCAAAATCGATGACTATTTTAACAGTGACATACTGTATATGTTTAAAATTAAAGATGACTCTCATAGAACTCAGTGCAAAGTGATGAGATTATCCTAACGATAGAGATACAATACTGCCTTTATCCAGTTTTAAAAAGACAAAATACATTCATATATTTATATGCGAAAAGTAATGAGGACCTACAGGAACGCTGAATATCAATGAAAGCTAATTTCAAGCCGTTAAAAAAGTAACGCCGATATAGACTTAAAATTTGGCGTTACACTTGGAACTCTTCGTGTACTAATTGTTTGTTACAAGCCAAAATTGTCTACCAATCCATATTTTTACTAATCTGTATATTTTATGCTGCACTCCTTGAAATATGTATCGCATACGTGTTCCGTTAATCATTATCGTAGCAAGAGAGTAAGAGTGGAAGGTGAAAGATTTTCTGACAATTTCTAGCAATGGTCTGGGGCGCAGCAAACCCTTGTCCGGAGTCGATTCAACCCCCACCCCCACCCTCACTATACTGACAACTGGTAAACCAGTTTTTGAGCTTACCCTGAATGGTGAACATAAACAGCAAGGAATAAGATCTTCCATCTAACCATTATCAACGACGTTGAGACGTCCATGAAATACGAGAAGAATGGTGAAAACAATCCTTACTGGTGAAACGACAGAAGTATGACATGCACGTGGTTGCGGAAAATTCTGTATATATGCAGCCATGATAGGAACCAGTCGCAACGCACAGAGTAAGGCAGACACAGCATGCCAAAACAACACTGCACGATTCAGCAGCCTCGTCCTTCTAGGACTCATGGGTGTTGACCTGGGCCGTTTTCGTTTAAGCGGTTGAACCGGTCGGACCACAGTTGTTCGTTTATTAAATAAGGTCGGACCTAGTAGTCTTATGCTACTTTCGGGCAAGCCTTGACACATCCTTGCAAGGCCTGCATAAACATTTGCAGGTCCGCCAGGAATTATACCCGAAATTGTTACATTTGAAAACGGACAAACCGGTTGTTCCGCATAACGAACAGGCCCTTGATAATATCGAGTTCTACACCTGATTTAAGATTCTGGTTGTACGAAATTGTATGTGCAATCCCATGTGTGTCTTTTTAATCTTCAAGATTGACTGGTCGAACCTGACCACTTGACCAACTTTCAAAATAAAAAGCTTGTGTATCATAATACTGTTAAAGTGGAAATTTTCGCGTGCAGAAATGTTCGCGTCATGACTCTTTAAACTGTATCGCGCTGCGGAAACTTTCGCATTGGCAATGGTTCTGAAAACTATATATTCTATGAATCTTTACTTGTATATATATTCATTCCGGTGTGGGTATGTTCGCGCTAATTTAGGCAACGCGAACATTTCCGCTCTAACAGTATCATATATGAACGGATACTGTGAGCGCCAGCTTTCTTTGATTTTATTTTGACGGAACTTCACACTATAAGATTATATATCATCAATAGATGGTTATGCATGTAATGACCTTCTTTCCCATGTAAAGTACAGGTTACGCGAATAGGTCAGAGTTTAAACAATTATAATGCGTAATTTACAGGAAGTAATGAAGTTCTACATGTGGACATTTTAAAGAAACTTCATATATTCCTTGCATTATGACCAGAACGTGTGTTTTACAAACTTCTTTTAAGAATCCCGATAACAAAGGTCCAATACCAACGAATTGTAATGCTTATATTCGGCCAACATATATGTCTTTCAGACGGCTGGATATCTTTTTCATAAAAGTTCATAGATGGAAGCACCTGAACACGACTAAACTATGTACCGTGTTAGATGAGTGGTGTTTTTTTTTGCATTAATTTAGTGTAAAGCATTATTTAGAATTATTATTTTTCAGAATAAGAAATGCAATACTTTTTTTTGTACATCAACAAAAATCGTGAAACAACCCCTGGTCTATTTCAGCAGCGACCGAGGAAGCTACTGTTGGGTCCATTGAGAAGCTGCTATATTGATCCTAGCTTGACTCGGACGGTCTATCGATTTTCTCCGTACCAATACACCTCCGTACAGTTCCATCTACGTCACAACTGACGATGTCTGCTTGCATAATTTATGTTTCATGAGACGGGCTATATCGGGACTCCTCGTAATGTATGGAAGGGCAATAATGGCTGGCTGTGATCTTGCATGTCTGGAAATATGTGACAGTGTCCAACTTTAATCCCAGCCCTGAATCCCAACTGGTTCCTTAAGGGTCCAGACGACCTCCCCATCATGTTGAAGCTACAGAGACCGCTCTGCACCGAGCTTACTTTCAGGTAAACTTAGAACAGATCTTTCGGGTTGAGAGTTAAACAGCTTTAGTTTTTGGTTTTATAAACAGGAATGGACGGTATGGCAGTCTTTGCCTAATTATGGTTCACTGGTGAACATGTGATCAAGCGTGTGTCATACCCTGCAACAGAGTCATGAATCATTTAAATATGCATGTAGGCCTGTGCAGTGTGTCTGTGGGGTTTTCGTTCATCATATGGATTTATTTCAAAACCCTGTTTACATATCGGAGAGGCTGTGACATTGTTTTGTCTTCCCGTCTGGTGACTCAGTTCTAATGAAAACAGTTGTGATCAAGAGCAATTAACGCAACCAGGAATCTTCACGGGGATCTGGCGAAAAAACCGCGACAACCATAGCTTCCGAGGATGAAGAATTTTATGTTGTAATTGCTTTTTCATATTTATTCCAAGATATTTCCGTGTTGGTCACGTTTATCTTGCCTATTGCCTGTTCAAGACGTATATATTTTGGGCATGTATAGATCATTAATGCTGAACGTCATTTACTAATAATATTTTGACAAATCTTGCATTCCATTTACGAAAACAGTCCTATGTACATGGGGAAAAGATCAGAAATGCTGTCTTTTTGTACTGGAAAAAATAACTTGCGTTGTATTATTGTGCTCTTTTCATTGGCCTGGGAATTTTTAAAAGTTCTAACGCAATTGTTGAAGCCTGTTTGTATTTGGGGCAACATGAATTGCACACGACTTTAACCAAGGTGTCAGCGTTTCGTGTTTTGCACAAGTTCCGGTTGCTTTCTATAACGATGACCTCTGTGTCATTTGTATTAGGACTCAAAATGAAAATAACCTAGCTTAAGTCGTTGAGACATACATTGTATATACGTATATAGCCAAGAAAGAGTAAATATATACGTTAGGGAATTCGAATGCTTGAACGTAAAATTGCTATTAAGGGTCATGTATAATGTATAGAAGAGGGAACTGAGGCAAGGACAACTTACACAGAGGTATTCTATATGACGTAATTAATTGGTGATAGAGCTCCTTGGAAGGTAATAATGGTAAAGGATCCTATCATCCATAATTTGATTGTGTCTTAGGTGTTATCCAAGGCACTGAATTAAGAATCTTGGAGCCAGTGACGAAAAGGGCACCGGTCGTGAATCTTTAATGTAAACAAAGGAAATTTGATTTTTTTTCTCATACAGATGTAATGTTAACAAGGTATAATTAAGATATATAGTGATTTGTTTTTTATTATATAAGATACAGTGTATGGTATTATTTATGTCAGCTGTATGAAAATGAGCCGAAAGTTACAACAATAGGCAAGTCTATCAAAGACACAACAGTCATGTGACATAACAGTTCAGTCATGTGACACAACAGTTCAGTCATGTGATATAACACCTCATTCATGTGACATGTCACATCATGTCATATGACACAATACATCCCCAATGTGACACAATATCTTAGTCATGTGACACAACACATACATGTAAGTCATGTAACACATCACATTAGTCATATGACATAACACTCCAGTCATGTGAAACAACACACTGGTCTTGTGACAAAACACTTCAGTTACAAGACACAACATATCAGCAATGTGACACAAAATCTTAGTCATGTGACACATCCGTTATGTAACATCAGTCATGTGACATAACCATCAAACATCTGATCAGCATAACAAACAACACACCAGTCATGTGATACAACACAAAACAACACACCAGTCATGTGATATACAACACAAAACAACACACCTGTCATGTGATACAACACATCAAATGACACACCTGTCATGAGGTAAAACCCATTAAAACACACCAGTTATATGTGAGAAACCATATAAAACAACACATCAGTAATATCTGTTAGTTGTTAGTTTGCTGGCCCCTCCTTCATTACTTCCTCTTACCATCAGTCATGGTATACAACCTGTCCCCTCCCTTACCACTGCCTCCCTTCCTGCCCCCTACCCCTGAATCTGCAGGCTCCTCCTACTTATGCCCCCTCAAACCTTCAGTCATGGTATACAACCTGTCCCCTTCCTAACCGCTGCATTCCTTCCTGCCCCCTACCCCTGAATCTGCAGGCTCCTCCTACTTGTGCCCTCTCAAACCATCAGTCATGGTATACAACCTGTCCCCTTCCTTACCGCTACATTCCTTCCTGCCCCCTACCCCTGAATCTGCAGGCTCCGCCTACTTATGTCCCGCAAACCATCAGTCATGGTTAACAATCTGCCCCCTTCCTAACTGCTGCCTCCCTTCCTGCCCCCTCTCCCTGAATCTGCAGGCTCCTCCTACTTATGCCCTCTCAAACCATCAGTCATGGCATACAACCGGGCCCCTTCCTAACCGCTGCATTCCTTCCTGCCCCCTACCTCTGAATCTGCAGGCTCCTCCTACTTATGCCCCCTCAAACCTTCAGTCATGGTATACAACCTGTCCCCTTCCTAACCGCTGCCTCCCTTCCTGCCCCCTACCCCTGAATCTGCAGGCTCCGCCTACTTATGTCCCGCAAACCATCAGTCATGGTTAACAATCTGCCCCCTTCCTAACTGCTGCCTCCCTTCCTGCCCCCTACCCCTGAATCTGCAGGCTCCTCCTTCTTATGCCCTCTCAAACCATCAGTCATGGTATACAACCTGTCCCCTTCCTAACCGCTGCATTCCTTCCTGCCCCCTACCCCTGAATCTGCAGGCTCCGCCTACTTATGTCCCGCAAACCATCAGTCATGGTTAACAATCTGCCCCCTTCCTAACTGCTGCCTCCCTTCCTGCCCCATACCCCTGAATCTGCAGGCTCCTCCTACTTATGTCCCGCAAACCATCAGTCATGGTTAACAATCTGCCCCCTCCCTAACCGCTGCCTCCCTTCCTGCCCCATACCCCTGAATCGGCAGGCTCCTCCTACTTATGCCCCCTCAAACCACCAGTCATGGTATACAACCTGTCCCCTTCCTTACCGCTACATTCCTTCCTGCCCCCTACCCCTGAATCTGCAGGCTCCTCCTACTTGTGCCCTCTCAAACCATCAGTCATGGTATACAACCTGTCCCCTTCCTAACCGCTGCCTCCCTTCCTGCCCCCTACCCCTGAATCTGCAGGCTCCTCCTACTTGTGCCCTCTCAAACCATCAGTCATGGTATACAACCTGTCCCCTTCCTAACCGCTGCATCCCTTCCTGCCCCCTACACCTGAATCTGCAGGCTCCTCCTACTTATGCCCCCTCAAACCTTCAGTCATGGTATACAACCTGTCCCCTTCCTAACCGCTGGATTCCTTCCTGCCCCCTACCTCTGAATCTGCAGGCTCCTCCTACTTATGCCCCCTCAAACCATCAGTCATGGTTAACAATCTGTCCCCTTCCTAACTGCTGCCTCCCTTCCTGCCCCCTATCCCTGAATCTGCAGGCTCCTCCTACTTATGCCCTCTCAAACCATCAGTCATGGTATACAACCTGTCCCCTTCCTTACCGCTACATTCCTTCCTGCCCCCTACCCCTGAATCTGCAGGCTCCTCCTACTTATGCCCCCTCAAACCACCAGTCATGGTATACAGCCTGCCCCTTGCCCCCACAGCCTTTAACCCCTCTCAACCGGTGCCTCCCTTCCTGCTCCATACCCCTGAATGAGCAGGGCCCCCACACATGTGTCCTTCATACCATAACTATGGACTGTCAAAAAGCAACAGAACATAATAAACCTGCAATAAAGATCCCTTGTCCCACTGTTGTGTGTTTTTTTTTATCATATACAGTAACCCCCCATTATTATTTCATTTTGGATACAACTGTAGCACATTTGGGTTAGAGCACTTAAATTCTGTTGACTGGGTAGCTCAGCTGCTTAGAAAGTTAGTATAACAAGTCCAGGTATATAGTCCCTGTTGAATTTTTACACTCTGTATAGCTGATTAGATTTTGTGTATTTCATCTTCGTTATGTTTTCATAAAAGTTAAAAGATTTTGGTTTTTCTCCAGGAACTCCGGCTTTCCTCCACCACCAAAACCTGACACGTCCTTAGATAACCAAACCATAAAAGACCTTCAACATAAATGTAGCTGTCAAGTGTCAACTCTCCCTCATTAGGAGGGAGATTCCCTTATTCTGACCAAACTCACACAAAGTCAAAATCTACATCCTGTGATCAAATGATCTCCTAGTAACTGCAGGTGTGTGTATTGATCATAGCAGGTGTGTGTATTGATCATAGCAGGTGTGTGTATTGATCATAGCAGGTGTGTGTATTGATCATAGCAGGTGTGTGTATTGATCATAGCAGGTGTGTCTGATTCAAATGATTGTTTTTTGGAGTTATTTCGATACATAAAGAGGTAAACAGAAATTGAACGAAGCTGTGAGTTTCAGTCACATTTCACATACTGTCTCCCTCATTGGAAATGTGGAATGAGGGAGATCTCCTTCATTGGAGGTTCCAGAGGTTGACACCTATGCTCCAAGTTATATATATAAATATATAGCTTTGATTAATCATTCTGTATAGTTTTCTATTCAGAATGATTAATTAAAGCTATATATATATAATCATGCCAGAAAAAGCAGTTTCCATTGTGTATAATTACAGTTTTTGGCAGTGGAACGGACATCCTAAACCCCATCACCACTGTAGACCATAATGGAATCATCCAGATCAATGTATGGTAGAGTTTATTAAAGTTACATAGGGTTGAAAGGGTTAAATGATGATTATATATCCTTTGATTAATTTCAGATTGACTCATGACATAAGTCCAGACCTTTACTGTGATGAAGACGATCATGATCTGGACCAAGTCAGTCGTGAACAGTTCATCTTCTCTTGTCTCGCCAAACAGCGTGACAAGAAAGTTTCCATTATTGACAAAGTTAAAGATACACTAACAGACAGAAAGAAATCTAGCTTAATCGATGTAAAACTACCACAATCAGAAACCGCAGAAAAAGCCGAAGCAGATAGCTTGATACACGAATGTGTGAAGGAGAAATTATACGGAAGCTCGGAGAAAGAGATAAAGTTGGAGAAATTGAAAACGCCATTTGGTGTCAAACAAAAGACAATAGAACAGCTCCATAATGCTATTAACGAACAGTATCATTCTAAGCAGGAGAGTGCATCCAGGAAACCATCAGTGACAGACAAGTATGAACCGGTAAGTATCAGTTTTTCATTGGGTGGTCGGGTGGTGCAGTGGATAGCGGACTTGCCTTTCTTAAAGGCGGCTGGGGTTCGATTCCCTGATCAGACGTGAAAAGGTAAATGGGTCACCTGCAGCCCAACCATGTTGGTTTACTCCAGATACCCTGGTTCCCTTCCACATTAAGACCCTCAATGCACTAACAAGAGTGAATAATATAAATTAAGATATATTTTTTTCACAATTGTTGCAAAATAAAAAAAGGAAGAAAATTTAACATTAAAGATTTCATTTGTTAAAGTCAAATTGGATTTTAACTTTTTTTGTTTTGTTTTGTTTTTTGTTTTGTGAGATTTGTGGTCTTTTCAAAACAGTTCAGGTAACAATTTTGTTGTTTTATGTTGCCTTTTCAAGAACTGCCACAACCTCTGTTTTCTTATTTTAATAAGCACCCCATCAACCAGATTTTCATGTGCCCTGGGTGCTAATTACGGTGAATACGGTACTTTATTTACTTAACTTTGAAAGAATACTATTTCAATGTTGATATCAATAATTGTATATAAATTATTATATTTGTGGAAGATTTCATTTGGTGATTGGGTCTTGTCAGTTTTCACAACATGAAAAAAAGTGATTTACAATTCTTTAGTACCTGAGTAAGTGTGCTGCTTTGAAATTAGATTTGTACATGATGGATGATTTTATGTCGTGATTTGCTTTGATAGGAACTGAAGAAAAGTCCTCGGGAGGAACATGCGCGGCCTCATCAAGCTACAGTACCTAAGGCAACCATTGCTAAACCTGTGCGTAAGCCGAGAAAACTACCGGAGATCCCTAACAAATGTGAGTATATATGTTGATCTCATTGTATTGAAAACTGGCTTGATATAAAAACATATGGTGAATTTTGTGCAAGGTATTTTGTGACCTAAATTTTGACAGCAGGCATCCATAACGGATATACTGTAGAATCATTTATTTTCGTGGGGTTAAAGCTTCGTGGTTTTCATAGACTAGCCTGTTTCAAGGACTTTATATTTTGCTAATTTCTGATTTCCCCCTATATCTATATCATACCAAATTTATGTTTTTGTGGGGATTTAATTTCGTGGATTATTGTTAACCGCAAATAAACGAAATTTAATGTCCCATGAAAATGTATGATTTTACAGTATATACCTACAATGTATGTGTTATTGTAGGAAACGGGTTTCTCCCACAACCACTACATGTTTCCTCACTCGACCCAACTCCTTTGATAACCCCACTAGGAGTGGGTATAAACATTTTTGGTTACCCATTGGTGGATAACAACCTTGATGTTGTTTCATCGGTCAATCTTCTAAGTATGAATGTCAAGTAACAATGCAGCATCATCTTCCATTATTTCATCATAGTTCACGGCGATTGTTTCCCAGATAAGAACAATTGAATAACGTATTGACTATTCCTAAGAGAAAAACAAGTTAAATCTTAACATTGTGCAACAAAAAGGCCCTCAAACTCATGTTGGTTGATTGTCACGTTAATCTAACTCTCGTAAGTTTATTTTCAAATTGTAAAAGACAATCTGCATGTAAACCTTGTGTCTTTATATATACAATTTGAAAATTAACTAACGAGTGTTAGATGAACATGAAAACCAACCACCACAAGTTATGAAACCTCTATTTCCCTTCTGCCCCCCCCCCCCCATTTTGTCCTAATGTGGTGGTACATTTTGTCCTCATCTGGTGACACTGTGGTACATTTTGTCCTCATGTGTTGACTCTGTGGTACATTTTGTATTGTGTGTAGATTCTGTGGTACATTTTAATTGTGTGTAGATTCTGTGGTGTATATTTTAATTGTGTGTAGATTCTGTGGTATATTTTAATTGTGTGTAGATTCTGTGGTACATTTTATATTGTGTGTAGATTCTGTGATACATTTTATATTGTGTGTAGATTCAGTGGTACATTTTAATTGTGTGTAGATTCTGTGGTACATTTTGTATTGTGTGTATAGATTCTGTGGTGTATATTTTAATTGTGTGTAGATTCTGTGGTGTATATTTTAATTGTGTGCAGATTCTGTGGTATACGTTTGTACTTAGTGTGTAGATTCTGTGGTACATTTTATATTGTGTGTAGATTCTGTGGTATGCTTTGTCCTTACTTGTTGACACTGTGGTAATTTGGTCCTTATGTTGTGAGTCATTTAAGGACATGCCTTCAAGCAAAGGCATGCCCTTAAATTACCATAACAGTTAATAGGACGTTAAGCATCAGGCAGTATATATTTTGTCCTTATGTTGTGAGGCGGTGGTAAACATTTGGTCCTTTTGTATTGAAAATGTGCTATGAATTTCCTTGTGTGTTGACTCATGCATGCAGTGTTTTTATCCTTAAGTGTTGACATGGTGGTAATATTTGTATACATGTAAACCTAAAACATGTCAATCCGTCAAATGTGTCAAATCCACATAATCTGGAAACCTGTGTAAAATGACATCATTTCTGTATAATGTTGATCTCACTTACCTATATAATCTGACACCTGTTTATTCTGAATTAATTCATTGTTTACTGTGTTGTTTGAATAAGACAGGTATCACAGCAACTTCTGTCATTTTGCAGCTCCAGACGGAGAGTCTACTTCCTCTGTTCCAGTCAATTCAAAATGCCTGGCAGACGAACTCCAGGAGGCGATGGTGCGAGACAGTCGCCAAAACTCCACAGATGACGATGACGATGTGTTTTATCCGACACCCTCCGAGGGGAAGAGTTCACCATCGTCAAAAGCATACCCGAAGTTTAGCGGTAAATTTTTAGAGGAACTTAAAACAATAAACTTTAACAGTGTATCGAAGAACACACGACCGTACACATCCTCCAACAATGTGTATTTGGAGGAAGATTCTACAGCTGACAGTCAGCGCCACCTGTCTGTGGCCACCAGCAGTAGGAGGAGAAGGAACAGTTCTGGTGGCGACGGTTAGTATCGTGTTGTGTTTCTATACAAATCTAGGACCAAGTTGGTTTCAGGATCAAATGTAACAAATGGGGAAGATTTGAATTGTACATAGGATTATAGTCGCCTTCTAGCTTGGCTTTGGGAGGGTGTCCAAGGGGAAGGGGTTCCTAGGGGTAGGGAGTACTCAGGATAGAGAAAGCTGGAAATAGGGGGTCCTGGGGATAGAGGGTTGTTATTGAGTAGGGGTCCTAGGGGTATTGGTTCATAAGTGTATGGGGTCTTAGAGATAGCAGTTCCTAGGGACAGAGGATGCTAAAGATAGAAGGGGTGTCAGTGGTGTGCTTTGGGTAAGGGGTGCAAGGATAGGGACCTTGGGCAGGGATTCCTGGGTATAGGAGATCCTAGGAATAAAGGTCCTCTGGAGTAGGAGGAAATAGGTATTGGGGTCCTTGGAGTAGAGGGTCCTAGGGATAGGGGTCATAAGGACTGGGGTCCTTGGTGTAGGGGCTTTTAGGGATGGGGGTCATAGGGATAAGGTTCCTGGAGAAAGAGGTCCTTAGTGTAGGTAGGGTTTTTAGGGAATCCTAGGGAGATCATAAGAATAGAGTCATAGTCGGGGGGTGTTTAAGGATAGGGGATCATAGGAATAGGGGCATGAGGGATAGAAGTTCCTAAGAATAACGGGCCCTAACGATAAAGATCCTTTCGGAAGAAAATATTCTGTGAAGAACGTATTGCCAGACATGATTAACAGAGAGAACTAAAAATGGGAATCACCAATGATAAATTTTGATACTCAATATTCATGTTTTTTTGTGTGCTTATGATATGCAGGGTCAAAGAGGAAGTCAACCTCAAGTGTGGCAAGTGCAAATTACACAGACCTTGAGGTCACCCACCGTGGAATGCACAGATTCATGCCGCGTCATAAGGACGAGATCTCCGTGGAGATCGGAGATCCTATACATGTTTTCTCCGAAGCTGATGATCTGTGGTGTGAGGGTATGTATATATTGAACTGTATATGGAAGGTGTATATTACTATATATTTTATTTTTTTAAGTTAAATATTATGTCTTTGTGTGGACAGATCCTTGTAGGGAATCAAATTCTGCTGATTTAAAAGTATTAAAAAAAAGCTCATCAATTCAGCCTCTCCAAAATTTAGAGATTTGTCAACAAAGAAAAATTGAATAAATCAATTTAAAATTGGATTACCTGATGAAATATTTTTAGGGTCGATGAAGTCCAATTAATGGCTAGTACTCCTACCTACGTTTGTTGTTTTCAGGTGTGAACATGCGGACATTTCAACGTGGAATATTTCCCTCTATGTATGCAACAGATCTTCAATTCTTGGAAGATGATTCAGGTAAATAATTTTATTCAGGCAAACTTGGTGGTTTTTTTGTAATTTTTTTTTTCTTTTTTCTATTTTCATTACAAATACAAATCCATAAACCTGACATTCACGCATTCTCACACATACACACGGACATGGATCTAGCATTATTACAATCGTTTTTTTTTTTAATATTCAGTCAAACTTGTGTTCAGTGACCATCTTCTGAACGTCTGTATAGAATTGTCTCTTGGTAATTGTTGCAGGTGGTCTCTTAATACAGGTCCTATGGAAATGAAATAAATGTAATAAGGAATTTTTCAAAAGTTGTCTCTTTAGAAAAGTTTGTCTCTCAATTCAGGTTCCATTTAAATAAAAATAACTGTGCTACCAATTTTTCAAAGTGGTCTCTTTAACATAGGTTGTGACCTATTGCTATCCGTTTTCGTCCGTCGGTGTCCGTCGTCCGTCGTCCTTTAACATTTTACATTTTCAACTTAAGCTGAAATACTGGCAAAGGGATTTCATTAATATTTCATGGGAAGGTGACTGACATCTCCCTGACCAAGTGTTGTTATTTTTCGGGTCGATCAGAAATCCAATATGGCCGCCACGGCCACCATTTTGAAAAACTATTTCAAACTTAAAGTCAAGTTCTGCTGGGTCGATTGAACTGAAACCTGGTAGGAATGATCGACTCATGGTCCTGACAAGTGTTGGTATTTTTCGGGTTGATCAGTAATCCAATATGGCCGACATGGAAGCCATTTTGAAAAACTATTTCAAACTTAAAAACAAGTTCTGCAGGGCCGATTTAACTGAAACTCAGTCTAAGAATGATCAGCTCATGGTCCTGACAAGTTTAAGTTAACATTATACTTAACAATTTTGTACTCAAATTGGTACATATTTCAACAACAAAAATAAATACTGTAGGACTCAGATGACCGTTTAGGCCCATGGGCCTCTTGTTTTCAAAGTGGTCTCTTAATACAGGTGGTCTCTTAACACAGGTGGTCTCTTAGGAGATGAAGAAGGTTTTTCTGTATAACCAATTATATATATTAGCTCACCTGGTCCGAAAGACCAAGGTGAGCTTATGCCATACTGTGGCGTCCGTCGTCCGTCCGTCGTCCGTACGTCCTTACGTCAACAGTTTCTTTAAACGACTTCTTCTTCTTAACCACTTATTGGAATTAAACTTGATTTGACTGGAAGCATCCCTAGGTGGTGGGGATTCAAAATTGTACAAATGTTGTGGCTGACCCCCCAGGGGGCTGAGGGGCAGGGCCAAAAAGGGTATTTGGCTATACTGCTTTAAGCGACTTCTTCTCTGGAACTAAGTGATGGATATCAACCTTATTTGACTTGAAGCATCTCTAGGTGGTAGAGATTCAAAATTGTACAAATGGTGGGGCTGACTCCCCAGGGGGTTTAGGGGTGGGGCCAAAAGGGGGCAATTTGGCTATATTGCTACAAACAACTTCTTCTGTAGAACTGTGCACTGGATATCAATCATATTTGATCAAAAGCATTCCTAGGAGGCAGGGATTTAAAATTGTACAAATGGTGTGGCTGACCCCCCAGGGGGCTGAGGGGCAGGGCCAAAAAGGGTATTTGGCTATACTGCTTTAAGCGACTTCTTCTCTGGAACTAAGTTGTGGATATCAACCATATTTGACTGGAAACATCCCTAGGTGGTGGTGATTAAAAATTGTACAAATGGTGGGACTGACTCCC